AAACAGAAAATTTCCGTTTGATAAAAAACTGGCCCTGATCAGATTTGAACCGGTCCCAGGCGTCTTCGTTACCTCCTAGCTAATTGTGCAGGAGACACTAAAAAACTTGAATTCATTAGGAACAAATGTACTAACAGGAGTCCAGATGAGTCTTGTGAACCAGGTTATTTACGGGGAAAAAGTCTAGTACTCGATTGCAATACCCTTGCTTATCGCAAAGATAAAAAACGTTTGAAACTTTTTCTTTGATCCAAATCTTAAAGATCAGTGAATTGAGAAAGGAATTTTGAAGAAGCTGTTTTGAAAAACCAATAAATTAGCCGATGCTACCAATTAAACCTGCCCAAGTTAGAGAGAGATAGATAGAGAGAGAGAGAGAGAGTTTAGGCTTCTGTGTTTTGCACAAGAGTTTGCACCCATCAATTGACGGCAGAACTGACTTTCTGCACCGGGTTGCAATGTCCAGAGTTGCATATAAAAGCCCAGGAACATAAGTTGACTTCAGAGTAATCTTTGTAGAAGTAATTCCAGTATAATTTTGTTAGATATGGTTTGTCAATTTGTTGGAGGTCAATATTTCCTTTTTTCGTATTATATTCAGTAATTGACTGGTTCTTTTCCAAAAAAAAATTTCGTCCGCCTTTCTTGTTCGAGTTTTTGTTGTCGATGTTAGATCTTTTTGTCTTGTTAATAAAAGATCGTCATTGGGTTTCATGTTCGACTTTAACGCAGTGAGTTCAGTGTTTTAGCAGCAAGAGAGGAGATGCTTTTCTTAAGGAAGTAGAAAGCTTTCCAAGCTTTATTACACTTATTATTTGGTTTCCATGATAGTTTGCTGCCAAGATTTTACGCCTTCTTTCTGTTTTATTGGTAAGGTATAGCAATTGCCCTCGTTTAGTTTCATTTTATTAGAATTGCACCAATCTTCCTCTTTCGATATATCTTTCTGTATCTTTTCTGGCATCACATTCTGTCATTTCCTTCGGTACGTCGTTCACATATATTATAAAAAAATAAGTGGGCCGAGTAAGGAAACTTGAGGTACACCACTAGTGACAGGTACTGTTTCAAAAATGCAGTCATTTACTTAAACTGTGCTTCCAATCCGGTCTGGGCCATATGCCTGATTAGTTTGCAGCTTTGTCAAATTTTTCGTTATATTCATTTCATTGATCTCGATTTTATTTGAATCTTTGTCTATCGTACCTAGTTTTCGTTATTTGATTACTCTTAAACAACACATTGGAAAAAAAATCACTGAAAAATTTATATTTTTGCGCGTTCTCGTTTGTTTTCTGATTTCTGTAAGTCATAGTCACGGGCTACCTGCTGCTTTTGTGCATCGATTTAAGATACTTTTGAAGATCAGAGAATCTTCGACCTCGAAAAAATTTACTTTCAAACTCTTCTTGATCTTCGTTTAGCGACGTTTTCAGACTCTTCTCCATTTTCTTAATTTTGATAATTCTATTGAGAGAAGATTTTTTCGACATTTTTCGTTTAAAAGTTGATAGTATTTTAAAGAGACGTGAGGACTCTTTCCCAACCATGGAGGGAGATTCGATCTGTGTGTGGTTGTTTGGGGAATATTTTCGGTTAAAAATAGATCAAGCCATTTGTACCATTGTTTAACTAGTTCACTAACGGTACTATAGCAATGGGGATCATAAGGGTGAGCTTCTATGTAGTAGTTTAGGTCTTACCAGTCTACCTTTTAAAAGCTAACTTTTTGTGCTTACTTTAGTGCTTAACTTCTGTTTCTAGTTGCAAAGCAACAACAAAGGCTTCGTGGTCCGAGTTGAAGCATTTGTTAAATTCACCACCACATGATCGGTTGACAATTATGTTTGCATTGTTTGTTTAAAACACACCTTACTGATTGTTCTCTTTTTGTTTAAGGAACTCATGGAAGTTTATCTCAGATAGACACTCAAGAAGTTGTTTTCATATTCATTCTGCGAGTATGTCTTCCAATTAGTGCACTCGAAATTCATATCTCCCGTGAGTATGACTGATTTACAATTTTCATGTTTTGCATAGGTTATGATTTCTTCTACCAGGGATGCCATCGCTTCCTCTGGCCACCAATATTGACTGATTTTGGGGGGATTATACAAACAACATATTACTGTTGAGTGATCTTTTGATTTATCTTTGATTGGAACATATTCACCTTTTATCAAGAAAAATTCGTTCGTGAGGCATGCTTTTGACCACTATGAGCACTCCTCTGTGTTTGAATTTGTGATTTTCAGTAGTTCTATCATTTCTAAGAATCAAGTAGTCACTTAGGAAAAGGCACTCGTCAGGTATGTCATAGAATAGCCATATCTCTGTTAAACAAAGAATGTCCAAGTTATTTTCTATTGCTGAACAATTAGCAAAATTGAGCGTCTATTTAGGCCCAGCAAACTTCTGGCATTGAAAGTAGGAACATTTATTTGCAAGTTTAGTCATACATTTGAGTTATTTTTGTTTTCGTTGGTTTCAATATCAACAATTTTTTGTACTTCTGTTTCTGGAATTTGAGGTAACGTATTCTTATTTCACTTGCTTCAATACCATTGGTTATCATTTCTCTGCGTTTTTGCAGAGGGTCATTTTCAACAGCTTGTTCATCTGGATTTAATTCTTTACTAATAAAAACGGGTGTTTTGTATTTTTTTATTTTGCCAAGTGACAAGAGTATTATTAACCGTTTAGTATTAACCGTTTTGCATAGTCACAGCCAATCTTGACAATTAGAGTGCGATCTTTCCCTTCAATGAATTTTCCTAGTCTTTTTATATCAGTGACATTACAAGTTACTGTGATTTCGTGATTTCTTTCACTTGCTCGAGATCATGTTCGTAATTTTCACGGCTATTGTTTGTTTTTAATTCAGGGATGCCTCCAAACCTAATGCCGTCATAGTTTTCTTGTAGTCTTGGTATTTTTATTTGATGTAATTGCTTATTTGCGGGTTTTGGTTTGGAAGGAGGGGCGGGAGTAGCCAATTTTTCATCCATTTTCTTTTTTATTTCTTTTATTTGAGTAATTATCGATAAATTCTTATCTTTGATTTCGGCTCTCATTTCTTCAACTTCCTGTTTTAGTACTTTTACTTCAGTGCTCTCTGTGAAGCTTGAGATATGTTATAACAAAGCATCTGTTTTCTTTCGATCTACACAGCTTTGGCAAATAAGAAAAGGCCATGTCTTGAGTTAACTCCGAAAAGGCCAGTGCATTTCGGAGTTAAATGCATGCAATCACCGCAGGCTACAAAGTAGAAAATCATTGTTTGTTATCAATATTAGTTGAGCAGGATTTATATCGAAAATGTTTTGGGATTTTTTTTTGTTCACTACTCATTTCGCCAATTTTTCGGATTTGAAGTTTTTGATTTTTTTTTAACTTTCGCAGATTTTTTTACAAAGAACTATAGTCAAAAAAAGATGGGGACGAAACTGTTCTTGGAATTTCGGCTAAACTATTATGATGTAATCAATTTACAAAATTCAGGCTTAAAATTTACCCTAAATACGGGCCGTCTTAGGCTTTTTTAGTCAATTGAAAGATATACCAAAACTACCGGATCAATTGCTGACAAAACTAGATCAAAGTTAAGCTCTTGTACAGTCTAACAAAGCTAAAGAAAACAAGAATCACCAAAACTCCGCCAAAAACATTTCAAAATTGTTTCACATAAGAAACGCTATTTCACATAATAAAGTTGACATTTTTTGGCAACTTAATAAAAACTTATTCAATTAAACAAAATTGAGAAAATTATTCCTTTCTTAACTTATGTTGGACTACACGGCGACTCACTTTGATATAACTTCGTCAGCCTGTGACCCTGTAGTTTTCGCTAAACTTTTGATTGAAGTAAGACCACAAATGGTCCGTTTTAAGAGACAATTTTGAGCCCGACTTTGCACTAATAAATTGCACCATACTAATTCTGACAAAATTTTGGGCAAGTTTTGTCCTCATCTTGACATGTCTAAAATTCTGAAATTCACTCTATTTGAAAAATAAATCAGTTTGAAGTTTTTTTCATTTAAGCAGGTTCCGAGTTTAAGCAGGTTCCGCTTTGCTTCTTCTGCTTTGTCTGCTATTGTCGGACCTGGGAAAGTTCCTCGGGCAACATTAGACATGGCAAGGCGGTTGACGCACGTGAAGTCCCAGATCAGGCAGAGGCCGTTTTTTCACGGAGAGAGAGTAATATTGTCTGGTCTCTTTCCGTCATCACGTGAGAGGCCGACTGGTTCAAGAGAAGACTGAATGTCAGACAAACAGAAAGCACGTTTGATGGCTTCATTCCCAAGTCGGTTTCTCGTGTGGCGACTGCTGCTTTTAGCACAGGACAGAGCATGAATGCATTTAAGGTCAGCTTGGGCCCCGCATACACATGTGAACGGAGATGAAAAATTGGCGCCAAGGCGTAACGAAGAAGCAATACGGAATGGTTCGGGTGTTAATTTTAGTTTCAAAGTGGATGATGGCAGAGTGTTGATCCAGTCACCGGATCCTCGACATTTTGCTCCTTGCAACCGGACATTGTCTTGTTGAGTGGAGACGTTTTCAAGCTCCCTGAGACGATTTTCAGCGATAGGTTGATACCACTTTTTCTGTTTCTTCTGATCGTCGCTGTCCGGTGCAGTTTCATCTTCTCCCACAAGTAGCCACCATTTGTCAGCTGCTTCTCATAAATCAGTTTCCGGCAATCCTGTTTTGATTTTTGACTCGACAAGAGCTCGGGATTTACTAGCAGAGGATAGAAAAGCAGGGGTTGACAGTTCTGTTACATTCCTACGCATTTAACGTGCAGGGTGAGTTGTTGCCACGTTTGTTCGTCTAAGTGGACGTTCAGTACTGATTCTAACGTGGATCAGATTGCTGCATCAAAAAGAGACAGGATATATGACCTTCTAAACGTTGGCGCGGTGCGAAGAGTATAGAGCAGTTTCGGAATAAACACAGTTTTTGATGAGGTAAAATGCTTCGTGGGCGTCTACATGTTCCATTCGTTTCCATAGTCCTCAGAGAAATCAGTTTCTCGTTCAACACGCGGGTCCAGCGCTTTTTGGCCAATCGGCGCTCCCAGCATCTCTAGGTCGCATAATTTCGTGACGGTAATGCTTGGTAACAGATCGTTGAACTCGCGGATGATGTCATCACTGAGGCTGGTGTTGGGTTCCAAAATGGTTAGCTCGCTTTTGTTGGCGTTTAGTGAGAGTCCTAGGGACGTTGCGAACTCGATGAACGCCCGCAGTTTGGTCAGAACAACTCTCCAGTTGTCTCCCTTTGATATGTCGTCCAGGTACCCTTGTTTGAAGCGGGTTTTTATGGCGTCTAAACCGGGGTGGATTGTCGAGCTGAATCCAAAACCTGCTAAGGGGTCTCCTTGTTGCCATCCTTCAGACGATGGTAGGGAGAAATCGCCGAACTTCTTGTTCGGTAGCCGCGTAGCAGACACCGACGACTTCCTGAAACAGCTTTGCCGCAAAATTATCGCGGAAACCGGTGACAAAAGAGCCAGGACTTTCCTCAGACAGCGGCTGTCGTTAGCCGTCCAGATTGGCAATGCAGCCATTGTGAGAGTCGATAGAGCGTGCCAAAGAAGCGACCATCCCAGACCTCTGAACAACCCCATTGTCACTAATGACTCCATTCTCGAACTCATTCTTACCTCAATTCCGCGGCCACATATCAACGCCAGACTTCTTGATCATTCCAGACTTTTTAACATTCCCTGCCATTTGAAATGACATTTTATAGTCTTTTGGTAATTTACCATTTATGATTTAATCGCATGACACACTTGTGCATTATGTTAGATTATAATCTTTCGTGGATTTACACATGTTTGACACCTTTGTAATTAATTTTTTTTAAGCAGGATAGTTCAAATCAGCACTGTATTTGGGAAAAAATTCATTTGACAGCCCAAAAAAAATCAGCTGGAAGGCCATCATAAAAAGTCGGACTGAAAAAACCATTCCGGCGCTTTGACAGTCAATTATTTGAATATTACAGTAAAGAAATTATAATTTAGCAGCATTTTTTTGGATTTAAGTCTGGAGACAAAATTAACGAGAAAAAAATAATCTTAGCAACGATTGTTTTCATGAAAAAAAAATTGATAGTGTAAAAGCTAGTGGATGTTTTTGAACATTTTGGCAAGTGTTTTATATTTCATTAAGGATGAAAAGGCCAAATTTTTGAATGATTTGAATTAAAATCAATACTATTAAAAACAAAAACTCAACAAAAGTATTAATATTAAAAACAGTATTGAAAACAAAATTCGTTCATAACTTACACGACTGCGCCGAACGCCCCAACATTGAGAGGTTCAAGTCGTTCATACTTGTTTTTAACAATCCATGGTTGTCGGTTAAACGTGTACAGAGTGAAACCTTTCCTCGGTTGATCAATTACAGGCTCATTTATTGCACCATCAATTTCATCAACTTCATCCATCTGAAACAAGAACTTTTTTCCATGGGTTGCCACAACTTATTAATATAACTTATTTTCTATGGGTTGCCACAATTTAGCAAGCCCGCCTCCAATAATCAAATAACTCGCAAAAAATAAAAAAAATAGTAAATTATAAAAGGGGCCTTTCCGCTTAGATACGGTCGTTCACAAGCTGGATAGGGCCCTGTGACATTCGACCAGAATGGCCAAAATGCAGTCTCTGCAGAATTCAGGATTTTAGCAGTGAACCTTCCGGATTGGCGATTTAGAACGGATAAGGACGTTATTTGAATGATTGGCCAAACGGTGAAGGCTAGAAGATTCTGGAATTCTAAATTTTAAATTTTCGAAGTGATGACGTAACATTTCTGAGAAATGTTAAAACGGCCATTTTGGCTAAAATAGCAGAAAGAAACAGAACAACTTTATCTGCGATTACGAACAGTACGAAAATCGAGACTAAAAAACAACAACGAACTACCGAACAGCAGAGGACGTTCCGAGTTGCAACTATTGTGCTGTTACAATAGTTGCAAGGCCGTTGCGAACAACGGTGAAGGGTAAAAACCAGCCCTCCGAGTTAGCGTGAACCTGAGGTTAAGGAGCTTGATTCGCCGGATTCAAGAATCCGGAAGGGTCTCGGGACGGGAACTTTTATGAACTTGTATTGAATTTTAGCATCCTGTCATGTCCTGACTTGAATTTAACTGATATTTTGATTAGTTTTGACAAGGATGAGGTGCTAGGAGTTGGGGGGAAAGGGTTGATCCATCTTCGATGGAGATGATGATTTTTATCTACTGAATAAAAACAATAGTAATATGATAAGTAGTAGCCCTGTTTTTAGGAGTGACCTCGTGGTCTGGGGATACAGAGACCCAGCCATGAGCTCACTAATTTTGCATGTAATTCAGTTAATTTGAGCGTTCTGGTCGAAGCCGGAGAACAGTAACGTTTTTGTCAGCCTGATGTAAGAAAGACCACCGAAAAGTACTGGCTTGGTAGAGACGGTGAAAAACATGCAAAGCTCTGTTTAGACGCTAGCCAGTCGTCTTAAGACTTAGTTTTGTTATCCGTCGATATGTATCTTCCGGGCGAATGTTACATGTATGTTTTTATGGCGCTCCTGGGTGTTATTCTTTTATAACATCATGACCGGCGGAACCGTTAACGAGCACTCCGCGCCGAGCGGATGCTCACATTAACGCCCTTAATAGGCCTAAACTGCCGGGGCGGAAGGGTAGTTCGGAACGCGGAAGCCTTCCGGATTACCGTGAATAGTTTTTTAACCTAGTTAAGACCGAAAATTCACGAACCAGGAAGGGTGGGGGGAATCATGAACCCCTCATCCCCTGAGTGGTTTGTGACCAAAAACACTTAAAGATATAAGCAAAACCAAACAAAAAGTAGTATAGTACCCAAGAAAAACAAAAAAAAACATAAAAAATAACCGGAAAAACCAAAAACAGTAAAAAAGTAAAAAATCAGTAGAAATCATCCCCCCAGACAAGATGTGATTCAACTCCCCCGTTTGTTGTTGATAGATATATTGTTGTTACAGGCATTTATATCAGTCGGGATCGTTACGATCAATTTTGTAGCCCGTTTGTGAGGCTTGTACTGTAGGGTTATTTGAGCATTTAAGCACGTTAATGATAAATTGCGCTCAATCCGGAAGGGTCAGCTGATTTGCGCTCAATTCGGAAGGGTCTTGGGTGAAGACCGATCCGGCAAGCAGTTCAAGGAGCAACAAGAAGGGGCTCAACGACAACAACAATCGACTGTTGGGTATCGTTAACAAGTTTTGTATCCCTTTTGGTACAAAAAGTAAGATAGTAATCTGTGGGGGGCTCGACAGTGCTGCACTGTAGTGACCCTTCACCGAACTGCGAATATCCGAGTTAAGCACCTTAATTTGGATAATAAACAAACCCGGAGGGGTATAGTATTACTAATATTATTATTCATATAGCCTATATTAATAGTCACATATCGTTTTTCAGTGAAAAACAACGAAAACAGACCGGTTTTTAGGGTCAAAATAGCGATATTTTGATCCCCCCACAAGTCGCGATTTTTGAGATATCGATATTTTTTGAAACGGAAAAAAGCGCTAAGTTAGTGTGTTACATCGTAACTGCACTACTGTAATAAGTAGAACCGGTTAACTTTAGTTCGGAAGTGGTTGGAACTAGTTTGGTACCAAAAACCAAATTTTCCCAATTTTTGATAGTAAGAAACACTAAAAATTTAGAAAATTTTTTGAAATTTTTGAGGTAGGACAGTAAAAATAGTTGTTCGGACAACGTCCACTAGTGAATCTACAAGTCTTAAAATCCGCTACCCGAAAGCCTTCCGGGTTGCAGAGAAATCGAACATAACGTGTTTGATTTGGTGGATTCATCAATCGGGAGGGGTCCAGGTAGCATAGTTTTGCGCAAATTTTTTCTACAATAGCGTTTTAGATCGGGTTTTTTGCATTGAACTAGAAGAGTATAGGCCTTCTGAGCTCGGATCAATAATTTTTAGGTCGAAAGGACCAGATTTGCGGAAAAAGTTAGGCGGAACCTATAAGAGAGAAAATTTTTTGAGTTCAGAAAAAAGACGTTTTGGTTAATAACTTTGGAACTACTGATCATATCGAGTTGATCTTGGTACCAATAGATCAGAAATTAGCTGGGCTTACTAATAGGATCAGAAATTTTTCGGAAAAGCGAGCGAGAAAATTTTTGAGATTGTTTTTAGCAAATTACACAAATCCGGAGGGGTACACCCTTCACGTTTTATAAATTTTTCTGAGAAACCCTTATACCTCTACCAAAAGTTGATAGCGATTGAACTAAGTAACTTAGGACAGTTCTAGACAAAAAGGGAGGGCTGAAGGCACAAGACAACCATAATAGAGTCGAAATTAGGCAAGTGATAAGACCCTTCACCGTTAGTGTGAATTGTCAAATAAGTGCCTTAACTTCAATCCGGAGGGGTCTAGGAAAGGACCCTATACCCTTCCCAGTTAATTCAAACAGCATAATAGCAGAACGTATCCGGAGGGGTATAAGCTGAAATTAAGAAAACTACAAAAAGCTACTTTGACAGAGCTAAGGGCTCCGAAGTCAGAGGGGTCCGAATCCGGAGGGGTCTACTTTCCACAAAACCGGAGGGGTCCGAATCCGGAGGGGTCTTAAAGTTGCTAATTCGGAGGGGTCCAAATCCGGAGGGGTCTACTATTAACTAACTCGGAGGGGTCCCAATCCGGAGGGGTCTATATTCTGACAGTCCGGAAGGGTCCTATTTGTGCCAATCCGGAGGGGTCCATATTCTGACAGTCCGGAAGGGTCCTATTTGTGCCAATCCGGAGGGGTATTATTTTATTAAGGACTTAGGTAAACGAAAGAAAGACTAAAAAGCGAGAGGTATTAGGTTATTAATACACAGGCTAGGTATCAGTGACTGCACTGGTGACTTGCCTCTCAAAAGGAACCAGACTAATACAAAACAGGTCCGAACTCGGATATTCGCGACACTAAGTCTAAATTAAAAAGAGCGTGACTCATTGGTGTGGATTGAAACATAATACGTTTTTGGGAAAAGTGACTGCCCTGAGGATTTTAGTAGGTCTAGCTCGGGCAGTCCGAAGGCAGATAGGTAACACAGCACTCGGTGGGTGCAATAGACGCCCACTTGAGAAAATTACTGCCTTCAAAGTTTTGTCTGTTTGGTGCAGCACCAAGCAGGGAAAGCTTTTTCTTTAAAAGACAGGTTCGACTATTGTACTGCGACCGACTAAGAGTACAAGACACATACGTTTTTTTTATATATACATTCATATTGTGTCAATATATATATTTTTTTGTTTTTGATTTTAAATCAACCTAAACTGTGCTTGATTGGGTGGTGACTACACTATCTTTTAAATTGACTGATAACATCATATTGTGCTAGTTTCCAGATCTTTGGACCGATAATCGGCTAGTGTGAATAAATTTTATACAAACTGTACTCTGACAACATACAGGGATTCGTGGTCACTATTTAATAGAATCTGGTGATATTTATTGTGTTGTGTCATTATTATTGTTAATAAAACTATAAGGTCTCTAGCAATTGAGTCAAGAGTAGGCAAAGGAAAGTGACAAATAAAGAATGAGTTTAGACAAGTCAAGGATACCAAAACGAGGTAATAGCTCTAGGAAATTCATA